AATTAATATTTTTTTTCTCATTAAATAAATAAATTAAATAATAAAAATTAATATAAATAAATTATATAAAATAAATTAATATAAATAAATTATATAAAATAAATTTTTTAACCTATTTATAATCACCATAATATAGTATTTATATCACAGGTGATTATATATAGTTTATTATATATAATCACCCCTATTTATAATCACATAATTTTTAAAAACCAAAAGTGGTGATTATAGACAGGTTTGACTGTATAAGGATTAAAGCTACACAAATATTCCTTTATGCTTAATACTCATATATATAATTTAGATTTACTTCTCTTCAAAACAACTCCGGTTTATCAATGATTGGGTTCAAACAGTAGTTTATTTTATGCAAACTCACTTCATTTAGCTTAAGTAATAAGCCTAGAATTAGCATTTTCTTAGGGTTAAAGCATATGTCTTGCATAAAGATGAGGGACGAAACTCAAAAAGGCAATTAATAAACAGCTGAAACTATATTAAAACATAGTGAGGGGTACGATGAAACCCTGAAATCCGAAATTAGCTGAAACTATATTAAAAACATAATAAGGGATATGACGAAATTATTTTGAAAGAGTTTTGGCTAGCATCTTTAGTCTTGCAGCAAATTACATATCATCGCATAAATTACTCTAGTACTATAAATAATTATGTCAAAAAGTTGGAACTAATCCAAATTTAGCATTAATATAAAATGTAAATCAGCAACATTAGCATGAAAAAAATTTGGAAAACCTTCTTCATTAATATTTTTAAAGTTTTTTTAAACTTAGGCATCATAAATATCAGATGAAATATTATCAAATTGTTGATAATTTGCCTAATATCAAAGTAGATTTTTAAATTCAGGGTAACAATACATTGCTTTTAATTGATGTTAAATACTAACAAATAGATAAATAATGCAATTTTATTTTCAAATTTACCACTTAATAATTTTATTTGCTTAGACAAGTTAGTATTACATAATATTGTTATACGACTCATTGAATTCAGAAATTTGACATATTTACATTTTATGACAGAAAGATGATAGTTTTGATGAAATTCTTCAACATCTTTTTTATCACATAACTTATGATATTTTGAATATACTATAAAGTTTTGAAATTGGTCTATTAACCTAAAAGTCTTAGTCTTATCAAATAAAGTAAATTAGAAAATAAATCAAACTTAGGAATACTGATTTCTTTTAGTAAAAGTTTTATAAATTTTATTAAGGCTTCTGTACTTGTTTCCAGTAAGTTGAACTTTATACAAAAATCTATAATACACTTTAAGATCTGTAAAAATTGATTATTTGTCAGTTGTGAGTTATTTAGCTCTTAAAGTAAGATTAATTGAGAACATAAATAATTTTCAAAATTTTCAATATATTCACTTTCATCATTTTCATCACTGTCATTATTTTCACCTCTTTTATCAACTTCATTTATTTCTGAAATATCTACTTCTAAATTTAATATTTCACTAATAAGATTTATGTTTGTGTCAAGACAGTTTAAATTTCTTTAATGTTTTTGAGGTAAAATAGGATCAATATTTATACCTTCAGAATTTTGTTAAATTTGATCCTCATTAAATTGAGGTTCTATTTCTATAACTTACTAATTTTTATCATTTTCTTGTTTATTATCTTATTCATCCATTTTGATATCTTCTAATAAATTGCCAAATGTTTTTTAAGTCTGTTTTTCTAAATTCTCAACAGACAGAAGTCTGTAATAATAGCGATATATTTATTTTATTCGTGTATTAACTAATGCATCATTATAATAGATATAATAGCATTATTTTTTCAATCATTTTCTTTTTTTTAGGCATTATTTTATTATTTTTATATTGAAAATTATTAAAAATTTTGAAAAAAATTGTCTAATTTTCTGAATTTAGTTAAAAGGTAATGAAATTTAATTTAATGTTATTTATTATATTTATTTGAAAAAAAATAATTATTATATTATTTTCTCATGAAGTTTATAGTTGAATATTAATTAATATCAAAATAATAAATTAATTGATTGAAAATCTATTTTTATCTAAATATCAAAGAAATAAATTAATCATTTGATTAAAGTTTATTTTTGTCTATAAGTTATTAATTGTAATTGATTTATAATAAAGTTATAAATTAATTAATTGATTAAAAGTCTATTTTTTTATAAAATTAAAATTGTTTAGTATATACTAAAAGCTTATTTTTTTTATTTAAAAGAATTCTTTTTTTTTGTTGATATCTAAACTAACTAGAATTCTAAATAAATTGAGTTGACTTATAAGTTAAATGAGTTGAGTCAAATTTGAGTTGAATTGAGTCAAAAATTTTCTGACTCATTTGACTTAAATCAAGTTATTAGTTGAGTTGAGTTAATAAATTAACTTTACTCATTTCAACTTGAGTTAACTTAGTTGACTCATAAGTTAATAAGAGTTACGCTATCACATGATTTAATATTATATAAATTATCATTTTTGAAAATTTGTAATTTTCCAATTTTTCAACAGCTAAAAATTTTCTTTTTAGAAATTTGTGCAACTGTGTATTCATATTTGGTATTTTATGTTATTTTATGTAACCTATTTTGGTGGCAAAATGTAATGAATGATATGAAAATATGTGGAGTCTTGTGAAAATGATGAGTGGTATACATCACTTCATGTGACATTTACTTAAGTGATAAATAAGATTACCAGCAAAATTATAATAATGTGAGCTGGAGGTAGTATATGTTGAGTACAATTCACATAAATGTCATGTAATCATAATAAAAGCTAATACGAAAGATGTGAAGTTCTGTGAAGGTGATAAATAGTATACAGTAATGTTTATTATGATCACGTGACATTTGTATAAATCGTATATATATCACCTCTAGCTTACATTATTATAATTTTGATTAGTTAATCTTATTCATCACTTGAGTAAATATCATATGGGAACATTTCCAGTAAAATAAAGTCATGAGGCATAGTAAATCATATGATCTGTAATGTGATTTTACTGGAAACGCTCCTATATGAGGTGATATATACTACTCATCATCTTCACGAGACTCCATACCTTTTCGTATTACTCTATAATAAATATCATTGTACTATTCATCACCTTCACAGGACTCTACACCTTTTCATATTATCTAAATGCAATCCTAGGAATTTCCAGAATTTCAGAAAATATCAGTTACAAAGTTTAAAATGATTATTTTAAACACATTTTCTTGAATATTTCAGCGTCCAGTGATCCATTAGAAAGAGGGTGTGGCAGCTCTGGCTCAGTGGTTAAACTGCGAGACTCCTATAAGCTAAAGTTTCATTACATAATGATAGGCCATCAGTTCAGGTATCAGCTGATACATAAAACTGTATGATTTTCCATAAGGAATTTCTTTGTAACTGAAAT